ATTGGGGATGTCCCTGTCCCTGCAGGGGGGTTGGACTACATGACCCTTAATGGTCCCTTACACCTCAAAATATGATTCTGTGATTATTTCCTTTTTTTAAGTGTTGCTTAAAATTGGAATAGCTCAGCTCAGGAACTGGGGCCCCTGCTCATGGGAGCACCTCTGCTGAGGATGAGCAGCTGACTCCCTTCTCCAGAGCTGCTGCTCATCACTGCTCCAGAGCTGTCAATCACACTCCTTTGCCAAGCACTGCACCTATTTAAAAAAGCCAAACAAATCCTAAAAATAGTTGACAGTTCCATTGGTAGGAAAGAGAAATTTCTGTGGGAACTTGGAGCCTGCCTGGCTAAACGTGTAGTTTGCAAATGTAGGGATGTGTCCTTGCTGTTGACTTGGAGTCTGCCTCCTGGTGAGTTCTTGGGCAGCTGTTGAGCAGGTCAGTGGAAGGGGCAGCACTTTGGTGTGAGGAGCAGGGTTTTGGAGGGCTTGTGTTAGGGAAGAGCACAAGAACCAGCTCCTGGGCAGCTCTTCCTCTAGTGCTGCTTCTTTCCAAGCCCAACAGTGGGAGGTGGAGCCCACCACCACCTTTCTCTGCCCATATTGAGATGATCATAGAGTTATGGGATGGTTTGGGTGGGAAGGGACCTTTAAAGGTCATCTTAGTCCAACCCCCTGCAGGGACAGGGACATCTGCAACTAGAGCAGGGTGCTCAGAGCCCCATCCAGCCTGACCTTGAATGTCTCCAGGGCTGGGGCCTCCACCACCTCTCTGGGCAGCCTGTTCCAGTGATGAACCACCCTCAAAGTAAAGAACTTTGTAATGTCTGAATCTCCTCTGCTTGAGTTTAAAACCATTGGCCCTCATCCTGTTGCTACAAGCCCTTGTAACCAGTAAGAACTTTCTCATGTCTAATCTAAATCTCCTCTGCTTGAGTTTAAAACCATTGGCCCTCATCCTGTTGCTACAAGCCCTTGTAACCAGTCATTCCTCAGCTTTCCTGTAGGCCCCTTCAGGTATGGAAGGGCCACAAGGTTTCCCCAGAGCCCTCTCCAGGCTGCACAAGCCCAGCTCTCTCAGCCTGACCTTGTAGGAGAGCTGCTCCAGCCCTCAGATCATTCTTCTGGTTCTCCTCTGGCCCCACTCCAACAGGTCCGTGTCCCTCCTGCACTGGGGGCTCCAGAGCTGGACACAGGACTCCAGGTGAGGTCTCAGCAGAGCAGAGGGACAGAATCAGATGCCTGAGAGCAGCTCTGCCCAAAGCTGAGGTGTTGGAAGCAGCAGTCTGCTGCTGCCCTGGCAGTTTGAGTGTGTGTGAAATCAGTGTTTGACTTGAGGTGTTTGGGGTCTGCATCCAGGAGTGGCACTGCAGACTGAGTGGCCCTCAGAACAAGTGGTGGGGGTGAAGCCATCATCTGCCCCAAGGCAGTGGGTGGCAGTTCCTTGTTGAGGAAAAGTTGAATGCTGGTTGAAACTGTTGGTCAGTGGGGCTTAATTTATAGAGTCACAGAAACTTTTTGGTCAGAAGAGACCTTTAGGATTGAGTCCAGCCCTGACCCCAGCACTGCCAGGTCCCCACTGCCCCGTGTCCCTCACACCACATCTCCACGGCTTGGGAACCCCTCCAGGGGTGGGGACTCCACCACTGCCCTGGGCAGCCTGGCACA